TGAGATCTGTCTCTTGAGTAAAATTTAAAACTATAAAACATAGGTGCTAAGTTAGTCTGGAGCAATGTTTTTTGGACCAGTAAGACTGCTATTTTCTGGGTCGTAGATTGTTAAGGTGCAAAGATGGCTTTTAGTAGAATGATGTGCTCTTCCTGTTAGATGTGGGAGAGTTTCCATGTTACTGATGGTAATGTCTGCAGGAAACGTGTTTGGTTGTGACTTCTATTGGATCATCCGGACCAGCTGGTGCAGCAGTTAGAGGCAATGAGGAATTTACAGGAGGTAGAAAGTGTGATGGATGGCACTTGCAGGAAGGGAGAAAAACTGCAGATACAGTCATGTAGATGGGTGACTTCCAGTAAAGATAGGAGAGGGAGGCAGGTGGTGCAGGAGTATCCTGTAGCTATCCCCATCTCTAATGAGTATGCAAGTGGGACTGAGGGAGATAGTGACGAAAGAGATCCGGCTGAGACTGGTGCAGTTGGGAAAAGGAGCAAGTCAAACAGTCAGGGCAGGGAGGAACAAAGTGGAATTGGCGGTAGGAATGATAAATTAAGCTGCATTTATTTCAATGCAAGAGGCCTAACAGGTAAGGCAGATGGACTCAGGGCATTGTTGGAAACATGGCACTGGGATATCATAGCAATTACAGAGATGTGGCTCAGGGATGGATAGAACTGGTAGTTTAATGTTCCAGGGTATAGATACTGTAGGAAGGATAGGAATGGGGGCAAGAGAGGAAAGGGAGTGGCGTTTTTGATTAGGGATAACATTATAACTATACTAAGGGAGTATATTCTAGGAAATACATTGAGCGATGTTACTTGGGTGGAACTGAGAAATAAGAAAGGGATGAATACATTATTGGGATTATTCTGTAGACCCCCTCCCCCCATCCCAACAGTCAGCAGGAAATTGAGAAACAAATTTGCAAGAAGATCTCAGTTATCTGTGAGAATAATTGGATGGTTACGATCGGGGACTTTAACTTTCTAAACATAGACTAGGACTGCCATAATGTTAAAGGCATGGATGCAGAGAAATTTGTTAAGTGTGTACAAGAAAATTTTCTGATTTAGTATGTGGCTATACCTACCATAGAAGGTGCAAAACTTGACCTACTCTTGAGATATAAGGCAGGGCAGGTGATTGAGGTCTCAGTGCAGGAGTACTTCGGGGTCAGTGACCATAATTCTGTTAGTTTTAAGATAATGTTGAAAAAGGATAGAATGGATCTAAAAGTTAAAATTCTATATTGGAGAATGGCCAATTTTATTGGTATTAAGCAAGAACTTTCAAAAATTGATTGGGGTGGATGTTTGCAGGTAAAGGGATGGCTGGAAAATGGGAAGCTGTCAAAAATGAGACAATGACATTCCTGAGACTGTGTGTTCCTGTTAGGGTGAAGGGCAAGGCTAGTAGGTGTTGGGAATGCTGCTTGACTAGAGGACATGAAGTTTTGGTCAAGAAAACAAATGAAGTATATGTCACGTATGGGCAGTAGAGAAAGAGTGAATCCTTAGAAGAGTTAAAGGCAGTAGGAGGATACTTAAGAGGGAAATTGGGAGTGCAAACAGGGGACATGAGATAGCTTTGGAAAATAGGGTTAAGGGGAATCCAAAGGGATTCTATGAAAACATTAAGGACAAAAGGCTAACTGGAGAGGAATAAGGCCCCTTAAATATCAGCAAAGCTGCCTATGTGTGGAACCACAGGAGATGGGGAAGTTACTGAATGAGTATTTTTCATGAGTTTTCAATGTGGAGAAGGATATGGAAGATATAGAACTTAGGTAAATAAATAACAACAGAGGGGGAGTTGCTGGATGGCTTAAAACACCATAAAGGTGGATAAATCCCGGGACCTGATCAGGTGTAATCTGGAACTTTCTAGGAAGTAAAGGAAGTGACAGCTGGGCCCCTTGCTGAGGTATTTGTATCTTCAGTAGCCGCAGATGAAGTGCCAGAAGACTGGAGGTTGGCTAACGTGGTGGCACTATTTAAGAAAGGTTGTAAGGAAAAGCCAGGGAACTATACACCAGTGAGCCTGACATCAGCACTCCCTAGATCCTTACCTTTAAGTATATAAGGTCTGCCCTGGATTGCTTTTTCAAAATGCAGCACCTCACGTTTATCTAAATTAAACTTCATCTGCCACTCCTTGGCCCATTGGCCCATCTGAACAAGATCCTGTTGTACTCTAAGGTAACCTTCTTCACTCTCCACTACACCTCCAATTTTGGTGTCATCTGGAAACTTACTAACCATACCTCCTATGTTCAAGTTGTTAGAGGGAATCCTGAGGGATTGGTGATTGCCACGAGGATTGGTGCTGAGTCCACTGCTTTTTTATAATTTGTATAAATGATTTGGATGTGACATTCGAGGTATGGTTAGCAAGTTTGCAGATGACACCAAAATTGGAGGTGTAGTGGAGAGTGAAGAAGGTTACCTCAGAGTACAACAGGATCTTGATTAGATGGGCCAATGGGCCAAGGAGTGGCAGATAAAGTTTAATTTAGATAAACGTGAGGTGCTGCATTTTGAAAAAGCAATCCAGGGCAGGCTGATTATACTTAAAGGTAAGGACCTAGGGAGTGTTGCTGAACAAAGAGACCTTGGAATGCAGGTTCATAGATCCTTGAAAGTGGAGCCATAGGTAGATAGGATATTAAAGAATTTGGGGGAAGTGGAGAGTAACTGTGTCTTGGTGGGCCGCGGAATTTACTTTGCTTTCACTTTCTCCAGCAATTTCTGTTTTAGTCACAGACATTGCTGGTTTAATGGCAGAAAGAGCCGTGACAATGTATCATTGTATTGATGGCTGCAGAGGTCTATTCAGCCTTGGTTCTGGCTACTGAACTCTGATACAGCTCAGCTTGCAAAGACCTTTCAGGGCTGATGTGGGGTTTCCTTTTCAGGTGTGGAGAGGTGTGGTTGTGTATAAGTGCCATGAATTGGGGGGAGCTTTCCTGTCTCTCTGTCTCTGTGTTGGAGCCGGTGGTCAGACTGAAGTTGGCTGTGTTTTCTCTCGAGTCTCAAAAGCAGCAAAGACTCCAGGCAAGCCCAGATGGCTCAGGAGACATTAACACCGTGCCTCAATCTGCTTTTAATATGAAATTCCCAGTGACCAGGTAATAGACTGATTCTGAACAGCTACGTGGACTGGAGTCATAGTCATACAGCACGGAAACAGGCTCTTCCCCAATTCATTCACCCCGACCAGGTTTCCTGAACTAAGCTAGTCCCATTGGTCTGCATTTGGCCAATATCTGTTTCTCTGTCTCTCCACAGACGCTGCCAGACCTGCTGAGTTTCTCCAGCAATTTTTGTTTTTTTCTTTTCTAACAGGAGCATTGCTGTCCCAAACTCAGTGCCAGTTTTGTGCGTCAAATTGGTACAAATTGATCACATTTCTCAGTCCAGATTCTGCTTCTTCTGTGACAGAGCAGGGTTGAGGATGACTTGCATCAACTCCAGGGATTGGAATTGGGAATTGTTGTTGCATTCTGCAGGAGTAGAATCATTCCATGCTTTATTATCATAGAACACTGAACAGTACAGCACAGGAACAGCCCTTCAGCCCACCATATCTGATGGCATTCTAAACTATCAGTGTGAGGCTGCTGTCTGGATGGTATCAAGTTAAATACAATGAATGTCCAAAGAGATTTAAGGGGTAGGGGTTGGTTGGGGGCAGGTGCATAGATCTTCAAAATGTCACAAACAAGTATAGAAAATAATCAAGACAGCTGATTGAATGAGGCAAAGAAAAAGACCAAGAACAGGAAACCACCAAGACTATCCCAACACATGATGCCTTTCTAAACTGAAACACTTTTACCTCCAGGCTGTCCATCTCTCTCTTTTCCTGCCAGGCCATGTATCTGTCAAGATGCCTGTTAAATATTGCTCTCTGTCTCCACCAACTCCTCTGGTAGTGAATTCCAGACACAGACCATCCTCTGTGTAAAAAAAAAACCTGCCTCTCACATCTCCTTTAAACTTTCCCTCTTTTAACCTTTTACCCTACTAATTGACATTTCTATCCTGGGGGAGAATAAAAGATTCCATCTATCTATTCTATCCATGCCTCTCATAATTTTGTGAACTTTTATCAGGTCACATCCTTTGATTTTCAAATGAAAACAAACTGAGTTTGTCCAATCTCTCCTCATCACTAATACCCTCCAACCCAGGCATCATGCTCGTAAATCATTTCTGTATCCTCTCCAGAGTCTCCACATCCTTGTGGTGATGTGGCTACCAGAATTGTACACAATATTCATAGTGGGTCCTAAATATATTTGTATACAGCTCGCCCAAATATCTAGAGAACTGAAGTACAAGGGGCCAGAAGTTATGCTGCAGTTATACAAAACCCTGGTTAGACTCAACTTGGAGCAGATCTAGGCATCACACATTAGAAAGGATAGATTGGCCCTGGAGAGAGTACAAGGTAGGGTCACAAGAATGATATTTGGACTTCAGGGGTTAAGTTATGAGGAAAGATTACACAAATTAGTTTCTCCCTAGAATTTAGAAGGTTAGGGGTGATCTGATCAAAGATATTAGCAGGAAAAGACAGGGTGGATAAATAGAAACTATTTCCACTGACTGGGGATTCTAGAACTAGGGAGGACCTCGTCTGAGAATTAGGGACAGACTGTTCAGGAGAGATGTTAGGAGGCACTTCTACACAGAAGGGTGGGAGAGATTTGGAACTCTTTAATACAAATGGCAGTGGATGCTGGATCAGTTGATTGTTTTCAATCTGAGCAGGATCAATGTTTGTTCAGCAATGATATGAAGGGGATAGGGGCCAAAGGCATGTATATAGAGCTCGGCCACAGATCAGCCATTGAATGGCAGAACAGGATTGAGGGGTTGAATGGCCTACTTCTGTTCCTGTGAATGGAACCAGTCAGTTGGATGTGAGAGCAGAATATGGAGAGAGCAGCCTCCTTTTGCTGTTTTTGAACTTATCATCTTCTGTTACAGGTAAATGCAAGAGAGAGAAGATATTGATGTAGCAGGCACCAGGTCACACTGAGTTGGACTGCTGTGCTACAAAACCACGTTGGAAATGTCACAGATTTCCGTGCTTCTGATCTTTTGTGAGTGTGTGTTACAGCAGAATATTGCCCCAGCAAACCTGTACTATTCCCCAGTCACGCAAGTTTAAATTCTGCAGCGGATAACCCCATACTTCCCTCTCAGTTCCGGGAAAGTGAGAGGAAATTACAGTGGCCAATGTAAAAACCAAACTTGGCAGAAATCGGGAATGAAAAGAGTTGGGAGCTTCTATAAGCGTTTCAAGAAAGAGAGAGAGAAAAGAATGAGCATTTCAGGTTACTGTCCTTTAATTCCACTTTGTGCAATATTATTCGATCTTCTCGGAAAAAGGATGCAAGTTATGCACAGATCTGTACTAAGATCTAAAAATGTTAAGTTATGGATGGATGAGCAGAATTTCAGAGTCCCACAAAGGGAAGGACAATCTCCAACAATATAGAGGCGAGATATCTCACTGAGAAGTGAATGGAAATACTGTCAATTTTCATCAGCATTAGCAGATTTACCAGGTTGTTGCCTTGGGGGCTGGAGAGTTTCAGTGATGAAGAGAGATTGGACAGACTGGGGTTGTTTTCCTTCAAGTGGAGGGAATTGTGGGTGGCGTTGGGGGGACATGATTGAGATGAACAAAACGATGAGGGGCATAGATAGGGTGGACAGGAAGAAACTTTTCCCTCTTAGTGGTGGGATCAATGACCAGGATGGTGCACATAGATTAAAGGCAAGAGGTCGGAGGTTTAGAGGAGGATGTGAGGAAAATCTTTCTCATCCAGAGGGTGGTAGGGAACCTGGAACTCGTTGCTTGTAAGGGTGGGAGCGGCAGAAGCATTCATCACATTGAAGAAGGATTTAGATGCACACTTGGGATGCCAAGGCTATGGGCCAACTGCTGGGGAAATGGGATTAGAGAATAATGAGGTAGTTGTTGGTGGCTCGCGCAGACTCAATGGGCCGGTGGGCTATTTTTCTGTACTGACCTCTCTGGCTCTGAACTTACATTGAAGATGGTCCTAGCTCTCTTGTGAAATGACTTTAGGCACAGCAGGATTTGCATAAGCATATCAAAACTGTGCAGAGATATTCTGAGAGTAGCCGTATTCTAACTATAGCCTTTTGTGTCTGAGCTGGAAGCCTCAGTGTGGGAGCTCATTGCTGAGTCTTGGCTGACTTTGGGGGTTTCTCAGAATCTCACTGAGGCAAGAAACACAAAGTCATGTTGACATGATTCCTTTTGCAATAATCTTCCCAAACATACTTTATTTTTTGAAAAAAATCTAGGTTTATAGAGTCCTAAGAATGAATGAAGAAGAATGGCACAGGAAATGGGAACCTAAGCAGAGGGAAAACAGGAGGGGAAAATGAGGTGACAAATCAAAGACAGAAAAGTACAAAGCAAAAGTTGACGGTGGCCCGAGACAAGGCCAGGAAACCAATGGGGTCATAATGCAGTTCTAATCAATTCATATTTCTGCCCCACTTCAATGGGACTGAACAATCAGCAGTTCCCATGGAGTTACAGACAGGGCATGTGCTGTTTCTCTGCTGCTTCTACACTTTCATTGCTTTGACGTTGTCTATGCTTTGCAGTTTCCAGGACACTGCCACAAATAATGACGTTTGTATTTCAATTCCTTTCTGTTTTCCAGTGAATCTTGCTCTCTGCGGCATCAGCCAAGGTCGGAGGCATCTGCAAATTTCTTGGATAATCATTTGGAAACCTGAGTTCTTGCTGTGCATGTCTTTTAAGTGATGTTTTCTTCCAAACATGAGACAAATGGGACTTAATCCAGTCTTTCCAGTCCTGAGTGAGGGATATCCTCTCAAAGATCGGGCACTGGAATCATCTTCAACTCTTCTCCCTTGCGGATACCCCATCAGTTACAGTGAGGACTAATGACCATTTTCATTGAATTGGTCACATTGGACAGAGTCCATTTAGTAAACCTGTACCAAAGGTTAACCCCACCACGATACTTCAAATGACTGTGTGATTTAAAACGGGTTGATTGGAAAAACAGAGTTGTGATCATTTTGAAAGGGAGAACAGAAGAACAGTATTGTTTAAATGGAGAGAAACTGCAGAAAGCTGCAACACAAGGGAACTTGGGGGGGACGGTGAGTGTGCATGAAACATAGAAAGCTCGCACATGGGGGATGGCAGGTAATCAAGAAGGGTGAAGGAAAAGTTTGCTCTTATTTCAAGGGGGTTGGAGTATAAGAGTGTGGAAGTCTTACTGCAACTGTACACAGTGCGATGGAGACCACATCTGGAGCAGTTTTGCTCCTCTTATCAAAGGAAAGGTATCATTTCATTGGAGGCAGTCCAGAGAAGGTTCACTAGGATGATCCCTGTGATGGAGGGATTGTCTTATGAGGTTAAGATTCTACTCACTGGAGTTTAGAAGAATAAGTTGTGATCTCATTGAAACACAAAGGGGCTTGACAGGGTCAATGCTTTTAGGATGTTTCACCCTCAGGGAAGAGTCTAGGACCAGAGGGCACAGTCTCAGAATAAAGGGGCACCAGCTGAAGACTGAGATGAGGAGGGATTTCTTCTCTGAGGGTTGTGAGTCTTTGGAACTCCTTGCCCAAGGGATAGGGCAGGAAAGTGAACGTGAGGAATGTGGGATCAGCCACGATCCAATTGGATGACAGAGCAGCCTCGAGAGGCCAAATGGCCTGCTCCCATTCTCATGGTCTTAAATACGAGTAGGAAGGCAGTGCCAATGATGGATGAGCTCATAGATAAGATTGGTCAGACTGTAAAGTGAAGGTTTTATCAGAATTGCTACATTTCATTCATTTAAAAGGTTTGGGAAGCTAAAGATAAAGTGCCACATTTCAAATCCACCAGCAAAATTCAAGGTTATGGCACTGACAAGTAATGGCAGTGAGTGTTTGCACAATATGTTTGAGAACAACAATATGGGAAATAGACAGTCCTGTCTCTTTTTTGATGGATGTCAGCATTAAATGGTCATGATGTGGATGTGCCGGTGTTGGACTCAGATGGACAAAGTCAGAAATGACATTGACACCAGGTTATAGTCCAACAGGTTCATTTGAAAACATAAGCTTTTGGAGCCTCAGTCCTTCTTCAGGTGTTAGTGACAGAGTTAGTATCAGACACAGAATTTATACGTAAAAGGTCACCATTGATGAGGATGTACTAAACAAACTTAGATGCTGTTAAATCTCTAATCAGTTCAAACGTTTTAATTGATTAATATGTACATGTAAATCCCTGAATTCCTTTCAAGTCACAGTCCTGAGAGAGCTGAAGGTTTTATCAGTGCAAAGAAGAGGTGACATTTTAGGTCAGATGGTCAGATAATGCATTTTTGGTGTGAGACCTTGTTTAGAATCTGTTTGTGTTTTGTTTTAGAGTCAGACTGGTTTTGTTTCTAAAGTAGGATTTTATTAAATGCCATATTGACTGACTGTCAATAAATTGTGGGTCTTTGAACAAAACAAAATGTATTTGCAAATATAAATTCAACCCATAGATTCGTGTGTGTGTGTGTGTGTGTGTGTGTGTGTGTGTAAGAGATAACCCATATAATAAATATTAATGGACATTAACTTCAGTTCTGGTCTTCGGTTCTGTCACGACAGACCAGGACACTTGGAAATGTAACAAACAATGAGGAGAGTGAAGGAGGATAACAGAGGGGAATATGAATAGTTTATAATGGGCAGGTGCATGACACATGAAATTTATTCACTCATGGAAGTGGTTGTCACCACTGCCCCCTTGAGAAGGTGGTGGTGAGCTGCCTCTTGCACTGCTGCAGTCTGTGTGCTGTCGGTAGACCCACAATGCCGTTAGGGAGGGAATTCCCAGATTGTGACCCCAGCGACACTGAAGGAAACGCTGATATATTTCCAAGTTGGGATGGTGAGTGACTCGAGGGGAACTTGCAGGGTCTGGTATTCCTATGTATCTGCTGCCCTTCTCTGACTAGAAGGATGTGGCCGTAGGTGTGGAAAGTGCGCCCTGAGAATCTTTGGTGAATTTCCAAAGTGCATTTTGTAGACGGTACACACTGCTACTACTGAGCATTGGTGGTGGAGGGAATGGATGTTTGTGGATCTGGTGCCAATTAAGCAGGGGCTGATTTGTTCCTGGATGGTGTTGAGCTTCTCAAATGTTTTTGGAGGTGCACCCATCCAGGCAAGAGGGGTGTACTCCAATACACTCTAAATTTGTGTTTTATTGATGGTGGACAGGTTTGCGATGGGTGGGTGGGGATGCGGGAGAATCAGTGATGTTAATGCCATTGTACGTCAAGGGGTGTTGGTTGGATTCTCTCTTATTGGAGATGACCGTTGCCTGGTAATAGAGTAACAGTTTGCATGGGGTGGGGGAGGTCTTCTGCAGAATACAGAGAAATAAAATTGGGAGTTTTCTCCTTCGAGGTCCTCAGATCAAGTTGATATGAAACCGAAGTGTTGAATATCAGAGAAAAGGTTTCACGCTGCAATCAAGCTGACTTTATTAAGGCTAAACATAATCAGTGCAGTTAACTTTTCTGATCAGTAAATCTACTGATACCTGTCAGTGATTGGCCCTTCCAAAAAAAAACGAAGCTGGTTCAATGGTTTGCGTCACAAAGATGATACTTCAAGAAATCCAGGGTTAAGCGTCACCAAAATTCATTGCATTCAGACCATCGTTCGATCAGTAGCCAACTCAAACCAGAGCTCTTTATACTGGGACACTGAGGCCGAGCTGCACATTGTGTTTATAACAGTGAAAAGTTAAAAAGATACAATGAATGGGCCCTCAATCTTCCTGCTTCTGTCTCTTCAGCTTTTGAGAGGGACCAACTTTACGTATATCCCCCAAGTGGGTTTGTAAAAGAAGAGACTTTAAAATTGCAATGTGGGACAGATAAGGGATGAGCTGCTTCTTGGTACAAAAATGGTGTGGACGTCACTGAGACACAGAGCAATGTTTATGAAATGCTTGTGAACAGTGAAACTGGTGGGTCTTACTCATGCAGCACATCATTCTTATGATACTGGAGTTAAAGATGTCTTCATTGGTAAGTGTACTTTTTAAAATTCATTCACAGAATGAGGGCATTGCGGTCTTGGCCAGCATTTATTGCCAGAGGGCAGTTAAGAGTCAACCAGATTGCTGTAGGTTTGGAGTCACGTATAGTCCAGTTTGACTCTGATTTACGCAGGAAATTCCATATGGAAGTGGAGTACGCATTGATTTAACAATTTTCCTGACCTCCCAGACCAGTTTAGCCAAACATGCATCTTTCAGCATGAGTCACTTACATATAGTTGGGCACCTGAACTGAGAGTTAGTACTTTCTCATGAGGAGAGGTTGAGTCACTTGGGCCTGTACTCATTGGAGTTTGGAAAAATGACAGGTAACCTTATTGAAGATCCTTAGAGGGACTTGACAGGGGAGATGCGGAGAGAAGTTGTTTCCTCTTGTGTGGGCGAGTCTGGGACTAGAGGGGCATCATCCTCGAATAAGTGGGGAAGTGGGGAGGCACATTGAATTTGGAAATGAGGAGCAATTTCTTCTCTCTGAAGGGCAGTGAATCTGTGGACTTCTCTATTGCAGAGGGCTGTCGAGGCTGGGCCATTCACACCCACCAACGTCTGGGTGAAAAGTCCTGAAATCCCATCCAAATCTCCTGCCGTTCACTTAAAATTGTGCCTCCCTTGTTATTGACCTTTCAACTAAGGGGAACAGCTGCTTCCTATCCCTCATATCCATGCTCCTCATAACTTTACACACCTCTATCATGTCTCCCTCAATCTTCTCTGGTCCAAAGTCAACAACTGAAGCTTACCCAGCCTCCCTCCAACGTTGAAATGCTCCTGGTGAATCTCCTCTGCACCTCCTCCAGTGCAAACTCATCCTTCCTATAGTGTGGACACTGGATCTGCACACAGTGCTCCAGCTGTGGCCTCACCAAAGTCCTCTTATAATCTATACCATTGATCTTTGAACTGCAATTTGTTGTGTTCCAATCTGATTCTATGTCCAGTTTTTGTCACATTTCTTTTGCAGTTTCCAATGAAACCCTAACTCTGGAAGCCAATCCACAACATGCTCTGAGAGATGAGAAGATTGTAATGAACTGCCGGACCCCATTCCGGAATTTGAGGGGGCATAAGCTTTTCCGATTGTATTGGAATAATCGGTTTATAAAACAAACTGAAGATGGTTCATTCACCATAAAAAGAGCAAAGCATTCAGACGAAGTATCTTATTGGTGTGAATTAAGAATTGGCTACAGACAGTGGGTTTCAAACAACCTAAGCATCACAGTATCAGGTTGGTCATTCCCTTGTCTGGTTAGTGCCGGTAAATGTTTTGATGATACTGTGCCACATCTGTCCAAGCTGCTTTTGACAGGATACTCCCAGCGATGGAGATTCGAGGACAGGAGTAGGGATGCTTCATCAATGACCTTCCCTCCATCACAAGGTTAGAAGTGGGGATGTTCACTGATGATTGCACAATGTTCAGCACCATTCGTCACTCCTCAGATACTGATGTATTCCTGGTTCAAATGCAACAACATCTGGACAAAATCCAGGCTTGGGCTGGCAAGTGGAATTCATGATACACAAATGGTAGGCAATGACCATCACAAATAAGAGACAATCTAACCATTGCCCCTTGACATTTAATGGTGTTAGCATCGTCGAATCTCCCCACTGTCAACATCTTGGGGTGTATCATTGAGGGAGATCTAACTGTCACCCCCTTGACATTCAATGGTGTTATTATCAACATCCTGGTGTTTCCTGGAGAAATTCAACTGGACTTGTCACGTACACATGGTGGTTACCACAGCAGGTCAGAGGCTGTGAATTCTGTTGTAAGTAACTCACCTCCGATTTCCCAAAGCCTGTCCGCCATCTACAAGGCACAAGTCAGAAATGTGATGGAATGCTCCCCAGGAGGCTGACACCATCCAGGGACCAATCAGATCCCACTTGATCGGCAGCACATCCACAAACTTGCACTCCCTCCACCACCGACATTCAATAACAGCAGTGTAGTGATAGTGTGTACTATCTCCAAGATGCACTGCAGAAATTCACTAAAGATCCTCAGACTGCAACTTCCAAAGCCATGACCACTTCGAACTGGAAGGACAAGGGCAGCAATACATGTGAACACCACTCCCTGCAGCCTCTGCTCCAAGTCACTCACCATCCTGACTTGGAAATATATCAATGCTCAGTATAACCAGGTCAATATCCTGCAATTCCCTCCCTAAGGTTCGTGTGGGTCTACTTACAGCAG